ATATCTTCTAAGTTTCTGTGGTCTTTAGATTTCAATTCCAGTATTTTCATACCGTCCAGGTACGAAGTGATAAAACTTGTATTACGTGATGTAGTAATCAGTTTTAACCACTTAGGGAAGCTTCGCAATTTGAACTTCAGCATCTTTAAAATGTCTCCTTGGCCATCGACTGAACACTCATCTAAGGCATCAATAACAATATACCACGTCTCTCTCGGTGGGTTTGGCAGCTTTTTCAGAGGTGTAAGGACTCCTTCTTGAAAGCACCAATCTGGGGATTGGGCACAATTCTTCTGTAACACTCGACGAACATGGGAATTTCTCAAAATAATTTCGCCGTATTCTGCGAAGTTTGAGGCAATCATGTTCGCCAGATTTTCCACAAATTTGGCCCCATTTTGAGTTCCTTTGTCCGAATACATACAAAAGTGATAACCAGCTATTCTATCATGAATGTGTGGGCTTGCACTTCTAGAACAAAGTAAATTTGAGACAAAAGCTGTCTTACCAGAACCAGGGCTTCCAACAAGCAATAAGCCACGGTAACTTGAATTTTCCATTAGCTCTTCCATATCACGATATAACCACTTTCTTCCGATAAAATCTGCTCTGGATGTCGTAGCAAAGTCATCAAAGTCGAAATGCTTCAGGCTCCACCGATCGTCGTATCGTTTAATGGAACATCCTAAATAAAATTAAATGATACCAGTAAGAGACAAGCTGTGGACTGGTTTCAGTCTTAAATTATAAACTAACGAGAGGCGTAGAGAGGAGTAAAAATCTATTTTTCGCCAATTTCCCAACACGTTTACCTTACATCATGGTTCTGAAGTTTGAATCGAAAAAAGCTAACTGCCTATACTGTTCCCATATCTCAGTCATACATTGGAATAAGGTTCCCAAGGCTCAACAAATGGCTTCCTCATTGAGTCAAGAATTCTATGAAAGCATTAAAGTATAAACTACGGCAAATGCAATCCATAAATTTAAACTTACCATCTTTAATCAGTGTGTCAGGATCCAGAACGGCACAGAACACTGAAAATAGGAACATAAATAGAATTTCTGTCCGGAAACCTTTTAAGAGCGCAAAAAGGACTCCGAAAGTATATATCATAAGCTCCAAGACCCACTCTATTAGTCTCACTCCCCATGGTTTGCTTTCTTGCTCCAGATCCTCCACAGCCATCTCTAAAATTTCCTGCCTTTCTTGTAGCTCTGTAACCAACTCTTGGTTTCTTTCAGACTCCTCTGTCAAGCTCAACATCCTTTCATGTATATCTTCTTTTAAGTCGACTAAAACCTGAGCCTCTCTACTATGTAAGTCTGTAATGCTTTTGAGACTAATAACTTCTCTGAGAGCTTTCTTTGCGTCTTCATCTGCAGCCAGTTGAGGGTCCTTTAGCAAGTTTTCGATAGCATCAAAAGCGGCAGTCTTATCAGCATCGGATAACTCAAGCTTCGGCACGTGAACACATCTGTCGTTTCTTATATCTCGAACAGCCTTGATTAGGGATTGGGGAATGGTGAAATGATTGCACCAGTACATTAAGTTCAAGATACCATTAATATCCATGTCGTCTGCACTCCTGATATTAGCATGTCCACCCAGATCAGGAAGGAACAGTTTTGCAATCTCCCACGGACCAAGAACTGGGTCCATCCATTTGGCTGAATCACTTTGTTTCCAGTTTGGTTTGATTCTGTGATGACAAGCGGCCAAGACTTGTGCCCCTATACATTTACGCATGTCGTGGTACTCATTTGGCCTCCTCCTTGGGACATAAACACATGTGCAAGGTGTGGGTACTCTTGTCGTTACATATCTATACAAGGCCTCCACCTCTTGCTTGACAAATGGACGAAGTCCCTGGCACAGGACCGTTGTCAAGGCATGGCCGAGTGCCAGCCAGTTTCTGTACTCTGGTTTAGCCATTTGACCCAATGTTCCTGAAGTGCTGGTAGATGCCATATCGTTATCTAGGGAAAACAGAGTGCTATTATTTAAAACATATGTTGAAATTTAATTCATTTTTACACTACATAATCGGGAAAAGCCACTCAGAAGCTAACGAGGTAGACGCTGCTAGACTTTATTTCAATTCGTCTTTCTTAATAACAGAACAAAACTGTTTTATTTACTTTGGATCAGAGACCAATCGTCTTTGACATAATTTTATATTCTGGTATAAGCTGCACTGAAAATTGTTGAAACTTTGCTTAACTGAAGCATATCAATTTTGAAACGTACTGCCATTCCAGTTGACGGCAACAAAAGAAATAACGATTATGGTCACGAACTTGATTTATGGTTTAATCGAAACTATTTTTAGCCTCCTTGTTTGCCAAGGTCCGCATGCATTTTGGTTTACAACTGGAATATGGCTCTTCTCGATTGACAGAAAACTTAAACTAAGGCTAAGACACTACTAATCGCAATAACGCACTTACTACCGCTTGAGTTTATCCAATTTTCCAACTTTTTACAAAACTTTTTCCTTTTTTTTATATTTACTGTATATCCTTGAAAAGTGTAACTGGGTGTCAGCATCTCAGCCATTTCCCGCTCTTTTTGTAAGTCTCAAATTAAATTCACTGAGATACTCAAAAATTGCCTTAGAAAGCCGACAGGGTCTCAAAGCTATGAAGATCCAAAGCTCGACAAAACTGGATGGTTTGTTTACTCCTGTGAGAGCCATGAAAAGGCTTTCAAGATTGGAAACAAACTGTGCATACGTCATCTTCAAAAACACCCCAGATGGGAAACCCCCGACACATGTCCTGACAGATTACAGAATAATCTTCGCAAATTAAAATAAATCAACAGTGTAAATTCACACCGTAAACCATTAACGTGATAATATCTAGGCAACTTCTCAAACGACACCGGCTGTTCTTTTTGGACGGAGTGAAAGTTTCGTTAAATGTAGGATACAAATTTAAAATGACTGCACCATCTGCCACAATCGAATCACGGCGTTTCATAGATCCACGGATAAGTATGGACGGTGATCACGCAATCACCAAACCCGTCAATTAACCACTCAGCTAAATATGTGATGGATTCAGCGCTTCCTTTTCAATTTTTGCCTCATTCTACTCGAATGTAACTGCATTTTAGTAAAAGCAATAACTCGGATACCATACTAAAGACAGGAGAGTTCGTAAAAGACCTTATTATTATTATTATTATTATTTTAAGAAAAATTCGAAAAGGAGAACCCTAATCAGAGTCCGCACAGAATATTATTCAGCTAATTATATTAAGTTACCGCGTTAAGTCTTTGTAAGCGAATATATTTTTGATACACGTCATGAGAAAATTATGGAACATTATTTCCTCTTGCACGCGCATCATGGCAAATATCAAAGGCCAAATAATGTTGAGAAGTAACGCTAAGTTATTTCAGTTATGAAACGATAAGATATATTAGGGCAGACCTCTATATATTAGATATATTATATTCAAATTTTAAACCTTATTCATTCAGTCGACTACCTCTCCTCTCTAGGTTTTAATGCATCTTCAGAGTTATTAATTGTAATCTAGAGGATTCAAATGATGACCTCTTATGGTAAAACCTTTCATAATTTCTCAGTTGACTACACGATTCCGTTTATATCATTCGCTTTATTGTGAGTTTATCCAAACATTTTCAAATATACTTCGCCGTAGTGTTTTCAAAGTATATGAATTTTTCTTTTTTCGAGCAGATATGAGGCCAAAGGAAATGATTTTCGGTCCAAATGCGTCTGCAAAAAATAGTTCAAGGTGATTTGAAAGCTCGATTTATCACAGTCTGGCAAAATAAAGGATTGCATCTTAAGACATCACGTCACAATATTCGGTTGAAAGTTTAATATTTCTCACCTTTAATTGTTTGTTCCCACCGATCCTTAACCCGGCTCAAAGGGGTCTATCTTTGCCTTATAGAAATAGATGAGGAAATTGGAAATAACTGAGGAAACTTTGAAATAAATTCAATATAGCACAGCAAATTTACGCTCGTAAACAGGAATCGAGGAAAGTAAAATGCTAACGCAACTCGAATGAAGGAGTCTGGGTAAAAAATTGAACTTCCTCTCCCTAGTCCCTCCCATACGAGGGTCCTGTACAGTGATCGAGTCACTCGGTCTGGGTAGAAAATGATTTAATTCCATTATATCAAGATTAAAAACTGAAAACTTTGCTAAAATACTTTTCTGTGAAAACTATGTACAGCCTTTTTTTTCTGCGTCATAGTAATGATTACAGTCAAAAAATTCAAGGAGCAAAGATCGTCAGAAAAGGGATCGGCACCGTGCCTAGCTAAGTAACTACATTTAAGTTTTTTTTTTCTTCCTTGCAGCAACCCAAGCATCGAATTTAAGAGAAGAACACAATGAATACTTTTCAACGAAATAAAATTGAGAGATAATGATTTTTCTGCAAAGGTCATGGGTCTGATTTTATTCCAGGACTTAGCATTGTTTGTTTACTTTATTTGTCCTCACTTCTTTGGTTTTCCAGCGAGAGTTCAGTCATACTTGCAAACTTTCAAACAGTTCTTCATCTTCGTGAAAACGTTTCATCTTCATATAGCCGCGAAAAGCGGCGGACCGGGCCGTAACACCCGTAAGTTGCGCGTTTAATTTAGTCTCCAGTCCGCCGCCGCGCGCAGCCCACTGTCGCCTTACGCGCTGAAATAAAAACGGTGTACATATTCGCAGGATACACACTGTTCTATCTATTTTTCTCTCCTTCAGTGATTATCTGGATAGACTTGAACCCTTTGTCCCTTGGCGAGAGGAACTTATAGTTATACGCTGGCAAACTCGGATGATATGGAAACAGGTAGCAACGAGTGTGTATCTTTCTTTTTTGCAAGGCCGAAGCAATACATGTAATATACCGTGATCCTTGTGTGCGATACGTACGTTATATAAATCATAGCGTCTAAAATCAAAAAGTAATCATTCTTCGCCATCCCTTTTGAAAATAAATTTCTTTTAATGACGGAAGGCTTGAAAAATGTTCCGGTTTTTATAACTTGAAGATTGAATTTTTGATCTTGAGGACTGTTCATGCTCGGGTCCGTTCTTCCAGAGGTTGAACCATGTGACTTGAAGAATTATCGTGACCTCCAACTCTTTTTTCATCTAAATGGATTAAAAACAAAAGAAATTATTACCCTAGTTAACAAGTAAGGTTAGAGGTCATCACGAGGAGAAGCTCAAAGTTTGAAGACATCCGAGAGCGAATTATCAGTTAGGTTTCGAACAAGTTGCATAAGTCTTATGATTCTGCGCAAAAAGGTACCTCTTAATATATAGACATTATTAGCCCAAGGTCCACCTTCACCGTCGATCATACAATTCGTAGATTTTCCATATTTGTCAAAGGTTTGTTGCGCAGTAGAACTTGCTGCACACCAGCCACCATTCTGAATTGCAAACATACTGTAACCCTTTCTCATTGCAGCGACAGCGCACTTTGCAATGGGATTTGCACGAGAAGTGTACTCGCCATCTAAGATGGAATCCTTTCCTTCTAATGTCTCGATGGCACGATCTTGTTTGTCTTTGTAACAACCAACGTCTTCGTACTCTAAAGATTAAAAAAGGAAATCACAATCATGATAAAAATGATTTAGATGGAACTCATCGTGGTAGCTTTCCCTCCATTCATAGGGTCCACAATGACAACGTTCTACAAGAGCTAATGGCTTTATGACCTGAATATCGGGGAAAGAAGAAATAAAATAAATGACTCCTTGTAAATTAATTTTGCATTGACAAGTCACTTTAGCATTTTAGTAGAAAGGACTGGGTAAAAGGTAAAATGAAATTGAAATCATTCAGCTCTTGAAATACATCGAACGCTAATGTGAGGTAGTCCTCGAATTTCTATGTTTGATATCGCAATCAGTTATCATTGAATCTGCCTTGAACATGGGAATATAGAGCTCTTTAGTACTTAACGCATTGATGGGAAAAGACGGCAACTTGGGGGATTTTAATGAATCTGATGAGATCTCCCCTTCACTTTATTTTCAATAGAACGTACAGTTTGCAAAGCATTATCAAAAGTGGCGTTAACTGATTTCGGAGGACAGTATGTAATTGCCGGATGTTGGGGCCGACTAGCGGCCGAATGAACGAACTGATATCGATTAGGTCATGTGGCTCGGTAGCACATGGTTTTTGTCCTAAAAGTAGTTTCGTGTCGGAGATATGCTATGTTCGTTTGTTACTGTTTTTGAACTGATTATCGCACAGAATATGTAAGTATCAGGTTTTCAATTTTCTTTTACCCGATGTTTTTTGGATCAATTCGAGACAACACAAAATGGTGGAGATAGTGATCTACAACTACGTGTCAAAAAATGCTCTCTGCGAATTGTTCCCAGTACTAGGTATCCTTAAGAGTTGTTATACCTTACCTTTCATCAAATATACGTTAATAGCCCCGGGTCCTCCAGTACCATCAACCTCACAATTCGGGGATTTCCCATATTTGTCAAACTTCTGTGGTGCAGAAACACCTGCAGCACAGAGGCCACCATCCTGAACTGCAAATATACTGAACCCCTTTCTCATGGCTGCTACGGCGCACTTTGCGATAGGATTTTCACGAGAATAGTAAGAGTCGTTCAAGATGGAATCCTTTCCTTCTAATGTGTCAATTGCGCGATCTTGTTTCTCTCTGTAACAACCAACGGCAACGTAACCTGGAGACCACAAAAAGGACACCAAAATCGTAATCATGCATCATAGCTTAGGGACTGGTCAATTTATTTACCACCTTGGGAGGGGTGGGGTTCGAAGAATGTTGGTTGTGTCCTAATAACCTGATACCCTTAAAAGTCTCCGCAGTATTCTAATGAACCTCCCTCCCCCCCCCCTCCATTAGTAATCAATTCTCTAGAGTGCCCCTTTTGAATTTCGTTAGAGACGATTGCTCCCTCCTCCGTTTCCCATGAAAATCATGTGATCCGCCAAAAATCCTCCGACCCCACCCCCGGAGATAAGTAATGACTGATCCCTTAGAAGGGACATGTTTTGATCGCCTTCACCCTCCTCATGGCTTCGACAAAGACAACATTCTGATAGAGCCAACGTAACGTGATCTTAATATTGAGAAACAGGCGAAAACCTTTGTATGTCGAGAACATACGTCACCTATTATGATTCAATTTCGTTGCTGCTACAGTCCTGCACAACCGACTCCTTGTACATCAGTAGCAATTGTTTACGACAAAAGCTTTCATTGCCACCAAGGAATTATGTAAGGTAACACCATCCACAAGTAAAATAATTTTTACTTCGAGATAAGGTTCGTTATAAAATTATAGCGGGAAGTATGCGCAAGAGGGTTAAATGAAATCATATACCACTTGTATTAAATCGAGGTACAGTCTCAAAATGTTTTAAATTGGTATCACAATCAATAATACATATGATGATAATAATAGGAAGAATAATAATAACATAATTTCCGTATCATTGAAACTTTTTTGTACTGCTGAGCTTTTTATTCTTCTTACGAATGCATTGGGGAAAAGCATCTCTAGAGATCTTAGGAGTCTGCATGGGATGAGCCTTTTCATTCTATTTCCACAAAAGGCATAGCTTTCAAAGAATCAGAAAGAGTGGCGTTTATTGTCCGCCCCTGATTTTTATAGTAGTTCATAATTACCTTTCAGTAAATATATGTTATAAGCCGCAGGTCCTCCACTCCCATTAGCTTTACAATCCGTAGATTCTCCATATTTGTCAAATGTCTCTAAAGCGGCGGCACTTGCTGCACACCAGCCGCCATTCTGAACTGCAAACATATTGTAACCGTTTCTCATAGCAGCCACGGCGCAATTTGCGATGGGATTTTCACGAGAATTGTAAGCATCGTCTAGGCTGGAATCCTCTCCCTCCAACGTTTCGATTCCACTACTTGCCATATCAGGCAGAGAGTCATTTGAGCTGTTTTTGTAACAACCAACGGCCTTATAACCTTAAGAATTACAAAAAAAAAAAATAAATCATAACCCTTATCACTATAATTTTAATGGTTATATGGTGATAGCTTTTGCTCCATTTTTAAGATCGACAACGCTGTTCATATACAACGACGACAACAAAATAACAGTCGACAGTACGGTGTGATCGTCCGAATGAGATAGCCTAGAAGAAAAATTTTTTCAGGTGTCTAATGAGGACTACTGCCCAGAAGGTTTCAGAACTACCTCTACCCGATGAGCTCACCATACGATCGACTATTACTTCAGGTTCAGACCGTGTACTATGTTATGCACTGACCTTTTATGTAATAAACTTGATTGGCCCATGGTCCACCCTCACCATCTGACTTACAAGCTGACGATTTACCATATCTGTTGAATGTCTTGGCAGCCGAAGCGCTTGTTGCACACCATCCACCATCTTGAATTGCGAATATATGAAATCCTCGCTTCTTTGCTGCTTGAAAGCATTTCCTGATGGGATCAAGTCGTGTTTTGTAGTCTCCATCCAAAATAGGATCTTGTCCCTCCAATGTCGGTATGGCTCGGTCATCATGATCCTGAAAACATCCGATCGTTTCGTAGGGTAAAACGAGCGCTGAAATTTGAATATTTTATAAATCAAATGATGGTCAGACTTCAGTGGAAAACAAAAAGCAGCAGCTGGCATTGAGAGAGGTGCGGCCGCTGTAAGTAGGTTTCATGGCTCAGTAGGCGCAAATTAGAAAGATAACATCCGGTAAGTGTGACTTCAGTCATACGCCAGCCGTGATTAGCTTATGTTACTTGTACTGTGGCGTTTGTCAACATCGCTCGTGAATATTCTGCACAACCTCTGCAGGCGAACTGTTTTCGAATTTTACTGAATATTTCTCGAGCAAATGATCCCAAAAGTGTAGTCTTTATTTGCACTTACGATTGACGACATAGACATTATTAGCCCAGGGTCCACCTTTGCCATCACCCTTACAAGCGGTGGATTTTCCATATTTGTCAAACGTCTGTGGCGCAGTAGAACTTGCTGCACACCAGCCGCCATCCTGAACTGCAAACATATTGTAGCCTTTTCGCATTGCAGCCACGGCGCACTTTGCAATGGGATTTACACGTGAATTGTAGGCGCCGTCTAAGATGGAATCTGTTCCTTCTAGAGTCTCCACTGCGCGATTTGAAGTATCTGTATAACATCCTACGGCTTGATAACCTAAGAGAAGGAAATTTGGTGGAAGCAAACTCAGTTCATTCTTTTCAAACCCTCTAAACTAGGGAGTGTCCTAATACCACAGCTACTGGTACTGGTCAGTATTGCAAATTGTTTTGTTTCTCATCTCAACACAATGCCACACTTTGGGCCAAAGTGAATCCCCTTGGATACATATAAGAAATTCAAACTAGCAAAACAAAATCAGAATATCTTAGATTGTGCTCAAAGGGCAACATTTCAAAAGTAAAAATTGAAGTTTCCACTATAGCTTACTTGAGCCTCTAGAAGCCGTGTCACCGATTATTTACCTGGACCTGTCATATGCCCAGTCGGCCTTTACTTTTGAAACGCGAGAGCAGCATCGCGAGACACAAAAACTAACACGACTAACAAAACGACAGCGCCTTTTTAGAAGATTAAAAATAATTGCTGAAACAAAAAAAACAAAGAACAAAAAAACTTAACTATTCCTAAAAGGGCTCCAGTGACAAACAACTGTAAAACGACCAGTCGCGACCGACTTACGCTACAGCCAATAAAATCACGGCTAAACTTAGCGATAAGTTTACACGAACCGGACTTAGAACGTTCGACCGTCTACAACTTTTTATTGATGATGACTTCCGTTCAGGTTGTCGAAACTTCTGTCACTACTGCCGACAACAGTCTTGCGATCAGACCACACGAACACATGTAAAACAATCAAAAGTATGTTTATGTACGAACCTTTGATGTAATAAACTTGATTGGCCCATGGTCCACCTTCGCCGTCTGACTTACAAGCTGACGATTTTCCATATCTGGTGAACGTTCCAATGGCGATAGCACTTGAGGCGCACCATCCCCCATTTTGAACTGCAAACACTTGGAATCCTCGCTTCTTAGCTGCTTTATAGCATTTCTCGATGGAGTTACTCCGTGCATTGTAATTGCTATCTAGGATCGAATCTTGCCCTTCCAAAGTTGGTATGGCTCGGTCATTAAAATCTTTGTAACATCCAATTGATTGGTATGGACCTAAAGACACTACGAAATATGAAAAAAAGGCAAAATAAATTATGTGTGATGAGGTGCTGAAATCAGTTTGAATCGCAACCTTCCTATGTGTTTTAGCTGCCGTGACTTGAAAGTAGTCCAACTATTTTCGTACAAAAAGACTAATCTTTTCATTTTTTCTGTCTTTTTGGCGTCTTCTTTTATTCAGTCAGCTAGCAACTTAATTAATCAATAGTTCACTAGTTAAAGTTATTCACTCAGTCAGTCATTCTATCTGTCAGTTTGTCAGTAGGTATCTAGCTACTACTAAATTGTTGGTTTGTTGGCTCGTTTACTTTGTTATGTTTTTAGTAGTTTAGTTATTTGGTTGTTTGGTTGTTGGTTGTTTAGCTCTTTGGCTCTTTGGCTATTTGGCTGTCAGGCTCTTTGGCTCTTTGGCTATTTGGCACTTTGGTTCTGTTTGGCTGTTTGGCTATTCGGCACTTTGGCTCTTTGGTTGTCAGGCTATTTGGCTCTTTGGCTCTTTGGCTCTTTGGCTCTTTGGCTCTTTGGCTCTTTGGCTCTTTGGCTCTTTGGCTCTTTGGCTCTTTGGCTCTTTGGCTCTTTGGCTCTTTGGCTCTTTGGCTCTTTGGCTCTTTGGCTCTTTGGCTCTTTGGCTCTTTGGCTATTTGGCACTTTGGTTCTGTTTGGCTGTTTGGCTATTCGGCACTTTGGCTCTTTGGTTGTCAGGCTATTTGGCTCTTTGGCTCTTTGGCTCTTTGGCTCTTTGGCTCTTTGGCTCTTTGGCTCTTTGGCTCTTTGGCTCTTTGGCACTTTGATTCTTTGGCTCTTTGGCTATTTGGCTCTTTGGTAGTTTGGCTGTCAGGCTATTTGGCTATTTAGCTGTTTGGCTTTTTGGTCGTTTTGTTGTTTGGTTATTTGGCTTTTTGGTTGTTTGGTTGTTTGGCTGTTTGGCTGTTTGGTTGTTTGGCTGTTTGGCTGTTTGGCTGTTTGGTTGTTTGGTTGTTTGGTTGTTTGGTTGTTTGGTTGTTTGGTTGATTGGTCGTTTGGCTGTTTGGCTGTCTAGCTGTTTGATTGTTTGGTTGGTTGGGGTTTTTGGTTGTTTGGCTTTGACTTCGTCTGATCCATTGACGAGATGTGAAGGGATTGATTGGAAATCATCTATCAGACTCCGGTTTGAACCTCCTTCCACGATGTGACAAGCCAGAAAGAAAGCTTTCTCTGGTTTTGAGGTTCTCCTGGTTCTCTTTAAATTTTGGAGGTAATATTCTGCAAGACGCCTCTGGCCTTTCTTATTCTTTACATAATAAACCTTTCCCATGTCATTTCGTGACTTAATAATCAGTTTTAAGCACTTTGGGAAGCGTCAGACTTTAGACTCCAGCATGGTTAAAATTTAATCTTTGCCATCGGTTGAACACTCACCTAAAGCATCAGTAACAATATACTATATCTCTGTAGGCTTCTTCGGCAGGCATTTTAAAGGTGTAAGGATTCCCTCTTGAAAACACGACTCTAGAGCTTGAGAACATTCCTCTTTTAAAGCTCTACGCACAAAGGAGTCCCTCGAAATGATTGGATTGTAGTCTTCAAAAGTCGACGCAACCATATTGGCCAGATTTTGCACAAATTTAGCTGCATTCTGAATCTCTTTATCTGAGTGCATACAAAAGTGATACCCGGCTATTCTATCATGAACCCCGCTTGCCTGAATGCTCCATAAGATCTTCTAATTCACGATACAACCACTGCCGTCCAATAAAACTTTTTCTGGATGTAGCAGCAAACACGTCGAAGTCGAAGTGCTTCAGGCTCCACTGATAACCGTATCTTTTTATCAAACATCCTAAAGAAAATGCACGTTGAGTAGATTTCTAAAACCCTTAAGACCAAATTTGGTGACCCAGGTGTAGGAAAAAACCTCAATCGATCACACTACAAGTTTTAAACACAGAAAGAAGCATCGACGTTTAACTGCTTACTCTGATCGCATCCCGAGCGATGGAGAGAATACAAAGAAAGTTTTCAACTGGTCACATAAGGCAGAGTGTTGTGTTGTTAAGACTTCTGCAGACAAAACAAAGCTTTTCGAATCATAAAAACATGCCTTCTGATCAGTTAATTCTTGCTGCCGTTTTTAATACATTGAGTGCAATCTCTACCTTTGAGATGAATATAATGCGTTTTTTCATAGCTTATACGATAGATGGAGATTTGTTTTCGATGCGTATTACTGTTTTATCGAAAATCTCAACGAACTTGTGATTAAAGTACAGCTTTAACTTTATTATCGTTACGAAACTCTTTATTTTAATCATGTCATTTTTAGGGTCTGTTTGACCAAAGTGCAGACGTTTAATTTAGATTTAAAATTCCAGGAAAAAATCAGAAACTCGGCTTAACGTAGCTGATCGCAGGTGTTTCAACACTTTTGTTTATAATTGTGGCTACAGACAGTTTTTAAGCTCGACAAAAATAGTTGGAGGGAAGCAAGAAAGTCTTCTGTATGCCCACTCCCTGAGCATTTCTTATATAAATTAACATCGACCAGCTAAAAACTACGTGAATGTTACAAAAACCACTTTTCTCTTTGGTTTAAGAGAGTCACTATCCACAATTAAATGAGAATGGCAATAAAAAATATGGATTTTCAACCTACCTTCCTTAATTGTTGAATGATAATCCAAAACACCACAGAAGCATGAAAATACGATAAAAAATAACATTTCTGTCTTTTTCCCTTTGAGGAATGTATAGAGGATCCCAAGTACATACACCAGAAGTTGAAAGACCCACCCTAGTACTCTTAGTGGAAGGGGCCTGTTAAATCGCTCGAGGTCCTCAAAAGCCATTTTCAAACTTTCCTGCCCTTCTTGTAGTTCTTTTACCATCTTTTTGTTTCTTTCCGTCTTTTCTGTCAACTTCAACACCCTTTCATTCATAACTTCTTTTAGGTCGGCCAAAATCTGAGGCTCCCTATTGTGTAAGTCTTTAATGCTCTTGAGACTAATTACTTCTCCGAGAGCTTTCTTTGCGTCTCTATCTGCAGCCAAATCAGGGTCCTTTAGCAATTTTTCGATTGCGTCAAAAGCGTCAGACTTATCAGCATCAGATAACTCCAGCTTGGGAACGTGAACACACTTGTCGTTTCGAACGTCTCGAACACCCTTGATCGAGAGCTGAGAAATAGTGAAATGGTTGCACCAGTACATTAAGTTCAAGATACTATTGATGTCCATGTCGTTTGCGCCTTTGATATCAGCATGCCCTCCAAGATCAGGGAGGAAGAGTTTAGCTATTTCCCACGGACCAACAACTGGGTCAATCCATTTGGCTGGGTCACTTTGTTTCCAGTTTGGTTTGCTGCGATGACAGGTGGCCAAGACTTGTGCCCATATACATTTATTCATGTCGTGGTACTGGTTTGGCCTCCTTTTCGAGACATAAACACATGAGCAATGGCTGGCTTTACCTGGCTTTACATACGTATACAAGGCCTCCACCTTTTGCGTAACAAACGGACGAAGTCCTTGGCACAGGACTGTTGTCAAGGCATGACCGAGTGCCAGCCAGTTTCTGTACTCTGGTTTAGCCATTTGACCCAATGTTTCTGAAGTGCTGGTGGATGCCATATCGCTATCTGGGCAAAACAGAGGGCTATTATTTAAAACATCTGTTGTCATTTAATTCCTTTTTACTTTACATTATTATCAATATACGCGGCCAAATAGAAAATCGGCCTCTTCAAAACACACGCTCAGCGGGCCGCAAAAGACTGACAGCAGGCTGCTAATGCATTATCAGCCCTACAGCTGATTGGTTCTTGCTTCATCATCCGATGGATTTTAACCCATTAGAGTAAGCCTAGTGTTGACGCGGGAAAACCATTCATTTGCGAAACTCCGGTTTTGAACTGCAGTTTTTTCAGTCGTCGAATCGTCTTCGAGCGAAAACTGAAGTAATGGAAGAAATTAGCAGTCAAAACTCAGATTTGGGGCTAGAAGATTTGGACAAATTAGAAGCAAAAGGTCAGGCGGAAAATACAAAGAGAGCCACTTCGTGGGGGATCAAAAAATTCGAGAAATGGTGCGACAAACGAAAGCTGAAAGTTGACTTCAATTGTGTAACACCGGTTGAGCTAAATGAATTACTGCGGAAATTCTACGCTGAAGTTAAATCGGAAAAAGGCCAACCGCTAACTTTGAATTCGTCATTCACTTAGCTTGTATTATTAAAACTCGCATTCTTGATATCATTTGGCCTTGTTTATTGATAATAATGATAATGACATGACTTTTTTCGGGAATATTGTTTATTTGCGCCCTTGTAGTGTCATTTGGCCCGCAAATGACACTACGTGGGAGCAAATAAACAATATTCCCGAAAAAAGTCATGTTATTCCCTTATTATGGGGAGAAGCCACTCACAAGCCTACGTGCCGGACGCTGCTAGACTTTATTTCAATTTCAGTTCGTCTTTCTTAATAATAGAAAAGAACTGGTTTATTCGTTTCGGATCCGAGACATTTCGTCTTTGACGTATTCTGGTATTTTGGTATGAGCTGCTTAGGGTTATTGAAATTTTGCTTAACTGAAGCATGTTAATTTTGAAACGTGCTGCCATTCCGGTTGACGGCATTAAAAGAAATAATGTTATGGTCGTAAACTTGATTTATGGTTTAATCAAAATTATTTTTAGCTTCCTCGTTTATCGAGGTCCGCATGCATTTTGACATACAACTGGAATATGGCTCTTCTTTTTCCTTTCTTTATATTTTCTGTATATTCTCGAAAAGCGTAACCGGGTGTCAGCATCTCAGCCATTTCCCTCTCTATTGTTTATCTTGGAAAAGAATTGGGGACACGAAGTATATGTTATAAAAATTGTCTCAAATTCACTGATGGAATAAAAAATTGCCTTAGAAAGACGACTGGGCCTCAAATCTATGAAGATCCAAGGCTGAACAAAACTGGATAGTTTGTTTACTCCTGTGAGAGCTATGAAAAGGCTTTTAAGATTAGTAACAAAAGGTGCATTACGTCATGTTCAAAAAACACTCCAGACGGGAAACCCCCGACACGTCCTGACAGATCAAAGAATTAAAATAAGTCAATCGTGTAAATTCACATCGTAGACAATATAGTTGTAATGCCTGGGCAACTTCTCAAACAACACTGCCTGTTCTTTTTTAGACGGAGTGAAAGTTTCGTTAAATGACTGCCCAATCTGCCGCAATCGAACCACGGTTTGTGCCATAGATTCACCCATAGGTATGCACGGTGATCACGCAATCACCAAACCGTTAATTAACAATTCAGCTAAATATGTGATGGATTCAGCGCCTCCTTTTCGATTTTAGCCTAATTCCTCTCGGATGTAAGTGTATTTTAGTAAAAGCAATAACTCGGAGACCATACTAAGGACAGGAAAGTTCGTAAAAGACTCTATTACGTTATTTTTAAAAAAGCTCGTCAAGGGGAAGCCCCCTCATAGCCAGAAATTTCATACAGCATGGCTGCCAAGCATGCGCAGGGTGCACACATATGGATTTAAATATGGCGGCCAAACATAAAGAGAGTGTGGAGAGAAATGCAAACGTTTCGAGTTTTTGTTAACGTTATCCAGAACACAGCTTTCCCCAGCTTAAAAATGCAAAAAGCAATGTATAAACAACAGTTTATTCGAACAAAATGCGAAGATGAAATTAGTTCTAGCCGGTGCCTTTTACTGTTTTTTTGGATCGACTCATAAGCGTACCATTCTCTCATAAGCCTATATAAAGGGTGCTTACCTTCATACTTTCCTAAACTCTCGCAGCGAAGATCGTGGTACTGACACATTTCCCCATCATTGCATTCGAAAGACAAGATGAAAAGGTCGCAAATAAAGCGATTTCCTTCCACATAAACAACCGTTAAGGCAGTGCCATTTCAAGACAAAAAGCACCATTTTCTGAAAATGTCATCAGCGAAGTGAGAGGTATTAAACTGAGGTAAGAATGCTCCTTGTTCTAGTTTGTTTTCGTTCTCTTTGACAGCCATTTTGCTTTTCTTCGTTTCCATGGTCAGTGGTGTTTCCACTTACAATAGGAAAGCCGCTGAACATGAGAACCGGCAGAATTTCTAAAAAATGCGGGAAGATTGCGGGAAAATCGAGGGAAAATCAAATATTTATAAGTGCCATGTCTGAAATACCTCCAAATAAATCGTTTCAACCTTGGAACATCGATATTGTGGATGCATCTTTGCAATATGCAAGGAACATAGCAACAAGAAAGGTAGCCTTGACAATTTCTTTAGCATACTCAACCATTAAAGAGTGGTATTATCTTGTGAGAGAGAGCAATAAAAGTTTCAAGCAGCAGGTCAGAATGCTAATTCCTCTTTTCAAGAAGTTGAGTTATTTAATCCTCATATTTACAACCTTTTAAACTTTTTTGTATCTTTTCTTAACCTTCTCTGGTGATTCCTTGATAAGAAGGTTGGGGTGGTGTAACAGGAAGGAATATCATAAGATGAAAGATACAAAGTACCATAATAGATTATTTTTCAGATTTTTTATTTTTGCACTATTTCAAGAGGTTACAGCTGAGTAATTATATAGATTACAAAAGTAAGAAGAAGAAGAAAAATGGAAACAAAAAATTACATAAATAATCAATGGTTAAATGTGCACAGTGACCAAAGGAGCTTAAGCTTTTGAGTTGGTCACTGCCACGTGTAACTAAGGCGAACAAAGACAGTTGCATAAAGTTACAAGCAATGTGTAATGGAGAAAGAAAAATTTAAAATACATATCTTGTTACATACAATTTCATATAATATTAAAAAAAAAAAAAAAAAATTAGAAACTATTATTGACAGTGACTGCAGACATCAAGTATATTCATTGAGTACTTAAAAGGTACAGTTTTTATTACTGATAGAAGCAATAATATAAAATATAATATAAAAATATATATAATCATCACCCACATTTTGTCTGCATGAAGTGGACTTCATGAGGCCTTATCAAGACCCTGATAAAGGCTAGTCTATCCAGCTAAAAGAAAAGTGATGTGAGAGGAAAACACATCATTTTAGTCTTTATTTGTGATCAACCATACACTTCATTACATTCATATTTTTTGTGGATCACTCAGGGCAAATTTTTTATCATTTATTCAGTAAATATGCTTATTTACAGTGCATAAGGTCAGGAGTTCTCTCATATACTGTCCAATTATTTCTTGATTTATTGACTGACTGACTGATTGATTGATTGATTTATGCATGCATGCATGTATATGTATATCTGTATGTGTGCATGTTTGTCTTTATTTATTTATTTTTTAATTTCTTTTTTTAGAAACTGCAAGCAACTCTGATAATATCAAGTTTCTCTAGAACTATAGAGGCCTCCAGGGAATTTTATATACCAAGAGCTATGAGAAGGCCAAGTTTTACTATGTCAATGACAGAAGAACGCTAATGTTTCCAGATTTAATTGACATACGTGCACCAGCTCATGCTTTGTAATCAAAGATGACATGGGTACACACCAACATATCCATGAGCAGTTTGCAAAAAGGGCAGCAAATGTACTATCTCTGTATCACACAAATAAAGGTAAGACAAAACTGGGAGAAATTAGATGAGAAAACACTGAAATTTCATCAACATGAAGACCAATTAGCTTCTTATCAAGAGGTTGAAGATGAGGTAACTTCCCTACAAAAATGATTTACAAGAATGGAAGGCAGCACATGCAAACCTGGAGGCAGAAAAAAAAATTCTTTTTGATGAAATGAGGAGCACTATCAACAGTATGGGCAAGGAAATATGCCACCTTCAAAATACCAACAATCAACTTCAAGAGTTTATTAAATGCCCTGAGAGAGATGAAGGGTTTGCCTACAATGGAAAACATATTTCTGAGACTAAAAACAAACAGCGCACATTGAAGGCTTTCCTGACTAGAGCTGAAACAGCTTTGTGGTTTTCACAAGCATTTGGCCTCCATGTTCAATTGCTTACCATTAAAGAGGCAGACAACATATGAAATAAATGTTGAAACAAAAGCACAAAAATCAGGGGAATGTTCAACTCCTGCTACTAACACAAACAATTACAACATGGAAAAAGTTGAACAAATTCTTTACCTACTCGATAAATTCTGTGTTAGCGATGAATTTTACCATGAGTTCAGCATGATTGAAAATGGTCTTCCAAGATCTTATCTGATAAAGCAATGCAGAAGTGATCAGACAAACTCTGTCATGTGACACCTACTCCTGGAACATGTGAGGGTGCACAAGTATCATTTAAATCACTTCTCTCGCAACAAATTTCAGCATTTAAAAAGGAAAATCCAGAGTTTGATTATGGCAATGAAACACTCCAAATAAAATTCAGTGGGGATGGAGCTAAAATGACACAGAAGTCTAATTACATTCTTCTCGCCTGTGCACTACTCCAGAAACAAGATGAAGTTATGTCTGCCAAAGGAAATCATACCATTGCAGTTGTCAATGGTAGTGAAAAGTATGAAACTTTACAGGCATCTTTCAAGACTACATTTTCAGAAATAAATTCTCTGATTGACAAAGGCACCATTATCGTTGGTGGTCAAGAAGTCAAGCTGGAGTTTTTCC